TTCCTTGAGATACCACCAAATTGTTGTTTGAATTTTAACCATGATCTCTAGTGGAGTCAATTCCATTCATCATATCAACAATATCTAGCTTGTCTCCCCGAAAAAGTGCTCTGTTTCGTGCTTTTCCCAAATTTGCCATGCTACTGTCATTATTCGAGCTCTCTCCCCCTCATTTGTTATCTGAAAAGCCCGGTCCCAGTAGTCTTTGCTAGTCCAACCTCTCCTATCCATAGAAACATCATTAACATTAGGCGTCAAATAAGTTTGCCAAAGTTGTTGGATTTTCTTACACTCCCACGTTACATGTTGTATTGATTCCTCCATTCTTCTACAAAAGATACAAGATAAGTTAGAGATTACTCCCTTTTTAACAAAATTATGTCTGGTAGGCAGAATGTCGTGATAATTCTTCCAACAATGAATTTTGACTTTAGGCATCACTGGTGTTCTCCAGAAGCTCTTCCACCACTGCCTTTGATACTCATCCGATGAGGTTGAGCAATCCTTAGCATCTTCCAACTTGAGACCTAGCTGATAGGCACTTTTAACTGTGAAAACCCCTCATTTATCCAAATGCCACAAAATTGCATCTTCACGACTTGTTTTTGGCAACGAAATTTTAAGGATCATCTCAGCTTCTTCTTGACAGAAATTGTCTATAATCAACTTTTCATTCCACCTGCCTTCTTGCTGCACAAGCTAAGCCACCGTATTGTCTTTAATTGAAACATTAAAATTTTAATATATTTATACATTGTTTTGAAACATATATATACATGGTTTTCTATTAAAGATTTGGCTCAATATTTTGTCTATTTTTAATTTCAAGTTTTTTATGAATTTTAAAGGTATCACTTAGTTTCCATATCAAGGTTCAACCCAACTAAATTCATAACGTCTGCCGATTTTACCATGTCCCCTCTTTTAAGATTTCCCCTCTTTTAAGATTAGTATCTTATTATTGCAAGATAAACATACCTTACTTCAAAATTAAATTGTAACACTGAAATCTATAATTCATAATATAAATTGACTCATGTATCATATTCTCTTGCACACACCATCGAAAGTTGCTTTTGAGTTTATGGATATTGGAAAAATGAAGAAAATGAAAGAGAATAAAAATAGACAAAATAAAACAGGACTCATATGGTGAGTAGAGCAATGAGGAAGAACTCTTTTTCATAATAAGAGAATACAATAGTAACCAAAAAAAAAATCAAATCCCAACTATACACTATCTTTTAGGTACATCAAACTTCATAAAATTGTAAAACGGTAACGTCGCAAGCCTGGAATTCGAGTTATATAGATTTGGCACGTGCATCCTTTGCAACTTGATGAATATGCCACCAACATCTTGAGATGTTTTTTAGATTGAATAATCTTTGAGAGATGTTTTGAGAAAACTAAAAATAAAGTAGTGAAAAGTGTTGTGGAAAAATTAGTGGAAGAAACCTATCTTTATAGTAGTAGAGAATAAAAAATTACAAAAGCATTTGAAACTAACTCTTCAAATTCTAGTATGAATTACAATTAAATAGAAAATTAATTTTATGTTGTAGGAAAACTTTTTGCATTCTAACTTTTTAAATTCTATAAATTTATTAGTATTAATAATAAAAATTACAAAAGCTTTTGAAATTCTTAAATTATTCAAATTCTAGTATGAATTACAATTAAAGAAAATATTAATTTTATATTGTAGGAAAACTTTTTACATTCTAATCTTTTAAATTCTATAAATTTATTAGTGTTAATATTTAATAATTAATTTAATATTTATAATAATATATTAATGGCATAGTTAGTAAATTTAATAAGAAAAAAAGTGTCCAAAAATATTTTTCCTACCACCTTTTTTTTTAATATAGTATAGATATAGATAATAATAGAAGGGTCTTGAGTTAGAGTTGGTTTGTTTAGGACTCTAAAACTGAAACTTGCCTTTCAATTTTTCATTTTATACCACTTTTGATAGTTTCCATACTTCTAGAGAGAGAAAAAAAAACAACAAAAACAGGTTTTTGATTTCCGTGGGCTAAATGAAACTACATGTGGAATCCGGTCATTTCCAGATGACACTGATATGCTATGCCAAAAAGGCCAAAAAGTACTTGAAAAATGTAGGAGGGAGGACCCTTCAAATTTGTCCTTGAAAACCCATTCGTCCTTGCCGCCTAAACCACGTTCTTGGGTGAGGAACCCCAACATTTTCATTGATTTTTTTCCCTACAAAGGAGACTCGAACTACTGCCATAAAAAAAAAAGAGTAAGATGTTAGATTTTCTTAAATTAAACACGGTAGTTTTTTTATATTAAATAGAGTTCTTTTATGTACCGTGGTGGATCCAAATTTTATGTTACAAGGTACAAATGTGTATAAATATAATGGAAAAATATCAATTTTAAGTTTGAATTTTGTTATTTGTATGAATTTGCATGCCAACCTAAACCTAAGTCAATTGGTTAAATCACCTACCAAAAATTCGTTGTTCAAATTTCATCTTTTGATAAATTTTCATTCGAAACATTGTTGAAAAAAATACTCATATTTATCAAACGAATCAGAATATATATATTTGATAATGAAATGGATAGAATTTAGAGAAAAACAACGTTGTAATTAGTTTTTCTTTTTAACATTATAGTTGGTTTTTCTTAATACGTTATAGTTAGTTTCTTTTTACTTAAATTTGTACGTTTTTCAAAAATTATTTAAGGGTTCATTTTCTCAATTAATCAAATTTAATTGAGAAATTTGATTTTTGTTAAATTAGCAAGAGTTTTTGGAGTTTTTTTCTTCAAATCGATGGATGAATTGGTCGAAATTTAATAGAGACACTCATCTCAATTTAAGATTATAAATTTAAAAAAACAGGACTTTTTGAACAAATTACTTATATATTGTAGTTAATCAAGTACTCCTTAAAAATGCATGTGCTTTGTGTAGGCCAAATGCACCTTATTTTCAAATTCTACTGGATCATTAATAAGTTCCCGAGTTCGAGTAATTGAGGAGTCACCTCAACTGGATCATTAATAAGTTCCCGAGTTCGAGTAATTCAGGAGTCACCGCATGAAGAAAAGTTAGAGAGAAAGATGGCATTCAGGGCACCCGTTCTTCGCCATGTTCGAGTTTCGATTCGATTCCTTGCCCTAGCTTGTCGGGTATGCCAATCGCAACCATGTTCCAATGGATTGGTCCGACTATTTTCATCACACGATGATCACCTTACCAAGGAGGAGGTCATTGAGAGAATCATCGTGGTTATCAAGTGCCATCCCAAAGTGGATCTGTCCATAGTGATTCAATCTTATCACTCATTTTCCCTTTCATTTTTCCAGTTGATTGAGTCGTTTTCAAGACTTGTATTGGAAAAAAAGAACTAAAAAATTTGAATATTCGATCAAACAATCTAACAAAATATAAGAAAACACAATACATTGACTAAAGGAGAAAATTAATATATCGAAACAGAAAAAAAACTCAAGCTTTGACGAAGAAAAATCGATAAAAAAAACTCAAGCTTTGACGAAGAAAAAGTTGGGAGAAAGAGTAAGAAATTTTTTTTATATAGTTGTAGAAAATAAAAAGTTACGGAACATTTGAAATTCCTTATTAATTATAATTCAAAATAAATTATAATTTTTTAATTAATTCATAGAAAGAAAGAGACAAAACCTTCATATTTTAACTCTTTATACTCTAACTTCAAGGGTAGTTTACTAGAAAGAGAAAATTAATTTTAGAAAAGTAAAATTTGTAAGTTTGCAGATTAAATATTTTAAAAGAAATGAAAAAAAAAAAGGAAAGTGGCATGTGGAAGGGAGAAAAAAGGGGAGTGAGAAAGAAAAATTAGGACAAAATTGTCCTCAAAATATCTATCAGAATGTTGAAATTAAAAGATAAAATAGAGAGAAAAAGTTTCTCCTATAACCCATATAATATAAATATAGATATAGATATATATATATAGATATAGATGATTGAGATCTCTCCCTCAAAGTTGATAATCAGACAATTGAAATCATTTTTTATTATTCTTTTCGTAACATACACCAAATTATCCAGAAACAATAATGAAGATCCTGATTGAAAAGATAATTAACGAAGATTTATAATAGGAATTAGCATTATTACAGAGAAAAAAAAAAGAATTTCCTTTTAAAATTTTCCAGTGAGGGTACAATTGTGATGCCTACTATATTTCAAACATTGTTTTTGACACTTTATATTAAAAAATAATATATTAACTAATTATGTGTATTAGCGAGGAGAATATGTAGAGGTCTGTGCAAAAAAGAACATGTAGAGCTTTACTTTCCTCTAGAATTTTCTTAAATATTACCATTTTTCAAAATTAATTTTTAACTTTCAAATTATTTTAAAAATAACGTTTCTAAAATTCGTGCACCAGAAATGATCTAATCCACTTTAGCAGGAGGTCGTCTCCATACGTGGCATTGCATATTTTAACATACCGCATATTTCTTAATTTGTAGTAAGTCATCTCTTATTATTATTTTCTTTTTGAAAAATCAAATTTGTGTTCCTCTGTACATTTTCATCACATGTTATAGTCGTCTCTTTACGATCATAATTTTTTAAACTTTCTTATATGATTGATACCTAATAATCTTCCCCGAGCTTTTTTTTCTAGGAAATAAACTTTAAACCAAATCTAACTAAAAGAATCTAAAATGTCATAAATTTTAGAAGCATTATTTTAAAAATAAATATGGAGGTCAGAATATTTTGAAAATAGTAATATTTAAAATTAAAAAAAAGTCCCCCCTTCGAGGTAAACAATGAATTCTTTTTGGAAATTAAAATAAATTAAAGATGTCTCTAGACCGGTTTCGTGAAGAGACTATTACCAAAAACACGTGGCAGACGAAGATGGACTGTTGAGTCCCCATTTCTGGGATCTCTTTTTCCACTTCACTCCTCACCACATTAATCACACAAAACTCCAAAACCATTCTTTAATAAATATTGTTTATAAAATCGAAGAGCCCCGCCGCCACCGCCGCCACCAACGCCCTCCCTCTTTTCCGTTCTGCATATTTCCCGCTCTTCCAATCTTTCTCTCTTCGATCAAATTTTCATTCTCATCCAAATCCCATCTGTTTCATCACAAATTATGATTTCGACCTTTGATTGCTGCAGCAACTCCGCCCTCAATCTCCCTCACGGCCCTTCATTCCTACCCAGCAATCCCTTTCATGTCCGCGAATTTCGTGTATTTCGACGTCGGAGACTCAAGAATCAGCACCACCGCGCCTTCACCATCCGAAGCCAGTTGAACCCATTCGAAACCCTTTTCCATAACTTGGTTTCCCAAGTTACTTCCATCAATTCCTTAGAACTAATCGCTCCAGCTCTCGGCTTCTCTTCTGGCGTTGCTATTTACCTGTCCAATGTGGTGTCTGCAAAGAATTCCTTGGTCTCGGATATGGGCGAATGGATTTTGTTATCCAGCCCCACGCCGTTCAACAGATTCGTGTTCCTTCGCTGCCCCTCTATTACTTTCCCCGGAAGCGACCTTGTGGAGGATGTGAGTGAGAAACTGGTGAAGGAGGAGAGGCATTTTGTGAGGCTTCACAGTGGGAGAATTAAGGCCACTACTGGCGGTGATTCTTTGGAGCACAAATTGACGTACCAAAGATTGTGTATAAGCACCGAAGACGGCGGGGTAATTTCATTGGACTGGCCGTCTAATTTGAACTTGAGGGAAGAGCACGGTTTGGACACCACGTTGTTGTTAGTTCCGGGAACGCCAGAAGGGAGCATGGATAGGAATGTACGGTTGTCTGTGATTGAGGCTCTCAGGCGAGGCCTTTTTCCGATAGTCATGAATCCTAGGGGCTGTGCTGGTTCACCTCTTACCACCGCACGGTAAGCCCACTGCCCTCTTACTTCTTTGCTTCTCTTTGTCATACATAGATTGGCTGGTGGATTGGCTAAGTTTCCTTTTTATACAAGGAGTTTTGTTCTGACTTGGATAGTTTTGTTATTGCAATCATGCTATATTAATATTTTGATTGCTGCGTTTTGCCTCTTCAAACCAGTTTTTACGAAAGTTCTTGTAGCATTAGCTAGGAGTTTCTGATTTATGCTATAGGTATGATGGAAAAGCATGTAGGCAATACTGAGGAAGATTGAGGCTTTGCATTCGGGATTGGATGTGGAGGTCGTGAAAGAGGAGGTAGAAAAGGATACGGATCTTGCCAAGATTATTTAGCTACTACAGACAAACTCGTCAGCGTCCCCAAGTACACACTCCAGTTGGGGACTCTTCTCTCTACAAAGATCACCTTGCACTCACAAAAAATTCATCTCTTATACCAATCGTGTTGCACATGCGAAAAACGGCTAAGTTTCCTTCTTATACAAGGAGTTTTGTTTTGTTTTGACCGAAAGTCACCCATCCTATATTTGAGGTGACTTACAGAATCCTAGCTATATCCTCTTAATGACACTTTAGAAGGGGTTTATTCGGATGAAATGGTTTGATGATGAAGGATTCTTGAAGTTGTTTCTAAATAGCCTCTAGAATTTTACCCAAGTCATCATGGAAGTCTCTATTTGTAATCACTGTTACCTCCTTCCAAGCTATTTTCCTCACCTCTTTGGGCATCTCTGGTTCAAGCGTTTTCTTTTCCCCAGCAGCTTCATGGAGAATCCCTTTCTCAACATTTGTCTCTCTTCCGAGCTTTCCGCTTTATTTTTTCCATTGAGGAAGCTTTTGATATCTGCCCATTTAAAAGATTTTTCCTTGCAGGAACGAGACGAATAAGTTTTTTTTTTCCCTAGCATTCAAGACCGTGTTATGACAAAAAATCTTCTCAAGTGCGCCTCAGTTAACCCGACTATCCTCCCTTTGTGTCTTTTATCAAACTTGATCGGAAGTCTTATTTTCGACCTTAGTAGACAGCTTGATTGATGTCATCTTTTTTTTTTTGATAAGAAACAAAGAGTCTTGTATTCAAGATCAAAAGAAGACCGAAGGCAAACAGAACAGCCTAGAGGCAGAGGGTCGAGGGGACCCTCCCCAAAGAAACTATACAATCAAGGAGTTCCAACTTTGATAAATCAATAAGAAACCATAGTTACAAAAAACCTTCTTATGAGTCGAAGCCCACCAAGAAGCTATATTCTTAATATTCACACTAAAAGAGTCAAAAGAGGCCTCTTTCTCTTCAAAAAGTCTATGGTTTCGTTCCTTCCAAAGCAACCACAGAAGAGCTCTAG